TGCTTCCCACTAGAACACCAGGAAATATCTCTTCAAGTCAGTCACTAGTGAGCATACGATTATAGATGGGGTTTGATAATTTTTTTTATTCAACTATGTAGTCTTGTGTCAATGATTTTTGTATATAATTTAATGGTATTACGGTTTCTGAACTTTCATTGTCGTTCTGGAAACCAAATCCTCAGGGCAAACTTCATAAATGTTATGTTCAGAACAACAATTAAAGCTCTATCGTTGAAACTGTTCAGCCTAAAATAATACAGTCACGAAAAGCACCCAATTAAGATGGAAATCTTTGTCATTTCAAAATTATTGGATATATATTCTACGGATAGGAATAGTTTCCAAGGTAAATATCGGTATGCTAATCATAGTCGTAATCAACATAAAACATGGTACAGATATCCACTAGGCCTAGTTCCCATTATCACATTAATATGATGAGCTAAAATTAACAAAATGAATAACTAAAGGATCAAAATGATGTTTTATCAATCCTAATGATAAAGACTAAACACTGAAAATACAGCTTAAGAAGACGAAATCAAAACGAGTGTATAAACGTATGCTATTAATCAATATTTGTAGGAAGTTAGAAAATGAATTTATCGGTATCGTTGTGGCCAATTCTGAGCCATATTCAGTCTCGTGTGTAGTTACGGGTATGAGGGCCAATATCACTTCCCGGCTGCCCACACCGTGGAAGGGTATTTCTTGAGGGACCTGAAAAGGATGTTGTATTGATGTTGGTCTTAACGACCTGGGAGCGTGACTGAAGTGCCCAAGAGACAACTGCTTGAGGCCAGTCAAGCATGGCCTTTGTGTGGGGGAATTTCGACGTGTTAACTACGCGAACTGTCACATGATTTTACAACCTCAAGTAGTGTCCGTCAAGGCTGTCCACTATCCCCATTTTTGTTTAACTTCATTATAGACCTGTTGTTGGAAATAGCACTCTTGTCGACTGAATTTTCAGGAATTGATCTTCTACCACTTATCGACTTAGAATACGCAGATGACATAGTAGGCCCTTGAGGAACGATTGTTCCAGCCAGTATAACTCGATTGGTTCATTACGATAGCCAATCTCGATCACCATGTCAAGGTAGCAGCAACAGTCGGGTCTGAGCCATATTATCTAACATCTCCAATCACTAGTTACAACAGTTGATTAAATCCTGGTTAGATAGTCTACCTACCAATATGACTCAATTCAACAGTCAATAACTTTATGACCTAATCACTTCTCTTGATCTAGGAGCTTTTATCTTTCTTCTAATCTACTTCTATTCCAATAAACATCATCTATCAAGGTAATCTGTGATTAAGCAATATGTAACATATATATCTTAAGTACCTTATTCGATAAAGATTTACAAACAAATCAATCCATTCGCCATGGATACATGAATAGTTTTAAATAAATATAAAGTTTGTAGTTAGGACTTAATTTTTATCTCTTTATCTTTGTTTGGGTTCCAGTTTTTTACAACTTGTTAAATCACATACATCAAAAGATAGTAGAGTATACACAAATTATCACATGTTCACTGTTTATATTATTATTATTATTATTGTTACCAGGAGAAATTTCGATTTCTTCTTCTTTTTTCATTTATGTTCATACAAGTTTATGGTGTTTGTGTGTATGTGTGTAGGTATATACACAAATTGCTTTCAAAAAAAAATACCTTTCTTTTCTGTTATCCGACTTCATTTATCAGTCAGGTGAAGGTAGATACTTATTATTCCATATTTTTTTACAGACTGTTTTTTTATACTTCTGTATGTCTAATTTAGTGAGGTTAGACACAGGGTATTAGGGAATGATGGTAAATCAGTTGATGAGATCATGAATCTTCATCGACCGTGATGGTTGGGCCACGTGTTACATATGCCTGAACACCGATTACCACGACACGCTATGCTGACTAGTATTGAGAATGGTTGGAAGAGAGTTAGGGGCAGCCAAACTAAAACGTGGCATCAGTGCTTAAAGTCACTAACTTCTAGTTTGAGCCATGTTGGCAAATGCAGACTACTTAGTTGGGGTCCACGCGACTATCTTAACCCATTGTTGGAGACTCTAGGTGACATGGCTCAGAATCGATCACAATGGTGTAGGTGTATACATTCTTTATCTTCCCTTAAACCTTGAGATTAAAATTGCTTCGTATCGGTCTTTTTCCCTATACTATATCCTTATATACAACCTATCTTTCACATACTACCACCACTAAATTAACTATTTCTATGAATCCGGTGTTCATCTTGTTGTGCTAACGAAGTATGGCAACTTGGACCGATGCGTATATAAGTGTCTGGTCCTACGTTGTAGCTGACTGACTGTGTCTGATTTTACATGTTTCACTGAGAATGATTTCAATGTTGATTAGTTATAATATTACAGATTATATCATGTCTCTAATCTACCACCGGTATACAAGTGCTTACCATCAACAATTAAGTCAAGTTCATTGTAATTTACAAACAAACAAAAAATAATCAATTTTTCATTACCTTTTGAACTCATGAACTCGATTATCTGTGAAAATTTTATCAATCTAATGGTCATTAAGTCATTGCTTAGTCTTTAAAGGATTCTGATGATCAGAAGTTCTAACCTTTCTCTATATACCTTTGGTTAAGTCAATAATCAGTTACAAAGTAAATCTAGGATATATGTACATTGGTTAAAGCTTCTATACCTCATTAGTACAAAGAGATGATGAAATTGTATTGAGCCAAATCCCTAGAATAATGGAAATAGTAACAGCATCCATGGTGATAGAAGAAATCAGGCACCCATGGTACTATTCAAAAAAATAAATTAGTAAAATAAAAGCAAGAAATAGTTATAAGGAATTGAAAATCTCAGAATTTGTGGAAAGACAAAGAACGGATGCACTTGCATCATTGCGAGTAATTTTGAGCAATGTCTTTCAAGTTCTCTAACCTTTGGTTATAATAATCACACGAACCAAAACCAGGTGGTAATCTATATCTATTAACATGGCTTAATCCAATTGTCACTGACTTTGTGAATTGATGCCATGTCTTGGTTTGGCCGCCCCCTAACATCGCTCATCAAGGTAAGCGGTGGTTAGAGATACGTAACACGAGTCTCAACCGCTTTAGTTGATGAAGATTTACTATCCCACAAATAGATTTGCTATCCTTATCTAGTACCCCATTCCTAACTTAGTCATTTCTTAATCCATGATTGTAAATTACACGAGCGATGCTTCGAAAACACATGATCAAATGCCAATAACATAGGCATGTCTTTCATTCTTAATAGCCATGTTTCACGCCCATAAGGTAAAACAGTGCAAACCGTGCTCAGTAAACTTATCCTTCTGTCGGAAAACAGATAACTCGCCTATGCTACAAGTGACGCAAGTTGACAAGTGCAAATCGATTCTTCTTAATTCGTGCCGTTATTTCGTTCGAAACCAGACCATTAGTACTGATAAGAATCCTAAAATATGTGAAGTGGTCGATGCATTCAACTACTTCACTTCCTGTCATTGAAGCAATGACATAAGTCAATCTTGAAGTAACATTTCACATTTGGAGGAAATTAACTTTACTACTTATCTCTGTTTATATTATTGTTTTTGTTAAATCTGGACGAGAACAGTTATGGTTATTGGGTTTTCTATTGACCTACAGTAAATTCTATGTACAAACAATTAAGGATTCTCCTAATAGGATTCAAGGTGTGGGAACTTTAAAAGACTGGATATCTGTCAGACAACAATACTTCAACGTTAGTGATTCACACGCTAATATGATAGAGAGAAAATAATGGTTTTGGGATTACTTTGGGTCCCGTACAGAAACTAAGAAACGTTGAAAAGGAACAACTCTGTTTTTATAGTAGCATGACCTTGGAGCACATTACAAAGTTAGCGAACTGAAAGTGATGAAAATCGATGAAGTAACAGCGCATGTTATTGCGGAAATATGAATTAGGAGAATGTCATCATCCTGAACTAATATATAGTAGCAAAAAACTAGACAACCTGATCTCTTCTTAGCACAAAATCATTTCTTAAACTAGGACAATAAAGCTGAAATATAATGCCGAACAATCTGGAGATCTTATCCTATTAAGCTGATAATGAGATATATGGCACTTGAACTAGGCACTTTGGAAATGCATTTTACAATATCGGCATCCTATCTGATGTTATTTCCTGGTGAAAATCTTAATTCTATAACTTAATTTCTATTCCCAACACTCATTCTTAACTCTATTTTGACAATCACACCGTAACCTTGAAGTGGTGTACATCTCCATCATTGGCTCGGCGGTAATATCGCTGCATATATTTTATTATTATTATTTAAACACATAAATATTGGTACAAGGAAGCACCAGATAAATATGCGCCTCACAAATCTCATTCGATTTGTGTGAGGGCTGAGATACTGCCCAGGTGCCCAGACTGAAGCAGGTGGTTATCTTAGGGGCTCACATCCGGAGCCTTTGACCTGAAGGTCTAGTCCACAAGGAAGTGGAGCATCGTAAGAAGATGCAGTCCCATGGTAGCCGGTGATCAACGGTTGATTCGTACGCCATTTGTTCCCTCAGGATACTGGAGCCAGCCCATGTGCACCATTGGTTTAGAATGAGGGTTTTCCAACTCCCCTAGGTGGATCCTCCACATCCACCAACCCGGTTAAAGCGCCGGACATTCGCTTTTCGTCCTCTCACTTTTGTGAACAACACCCGTGATGCGAGAAGGCAGTGATTTAGACTTCCCTGGTAGAGGCTATAAACGCGTAGTCATGTGAGAGCATTTGGAGAGGGAGAGCGAATTCTCCTCACTCTCAGGCGTACCAGGGTATTTGGGGGCGCAAACATTTTGTTATGTATTATATATATATAATTTTTATGTATTTATATGTTAGTAAAAACCCTACCTTTTTTCATTTTTTTCCCTCTTCATAAAATGATGTTGTTTCTACTTCAATGTTGAAAATATCTTCAGCCTCTACCAAATGGTAAGTAATATCTTTTATAGTATTTTACCGTTTTTGAATGATCATTAAGTGTTATGGTATCTTGGATTTCGTACTGTTTCCCTGTTCATTTAATGGGTGATTTCAAGCTTCTGAATTTATTGACATCTATCTGCTGTGAACATATCAGTACAGTCCATTCCAACATGTCCCAGGATAAAAGCGAATACAAATAAAATTTCGAGATTGGAATGAAATCCTAAAAGAAAATTACACTTGTCTACAGTACTCATGGTGTAGGAGTAGGTTGAAAGAAAGCTAGGGGCGGCCAGACCAAAACGTGACACAAATCCATGAAGTCACTGACAAATGGATTGAGCCATGTTGGTAGGTGAATATTACCTGGTTGGGATTCGCGAGATGATAGCAATCGATGGTTAGAGACCTTGAATGAAATGGCTCAAAATCGTTTTCAATGGCGAAGGTACATCCTTCATTCTTTATATTCCCCCAAATTCTAATCTTCTCAATTCTTCACGTCCCTTCCTTTTTTCTCTTTCTAAATTTATTTCACTGGATTATACTCCTTGAATAACATCTTCAAACCCTAATCTTTCGGATTACTGCTTATACTCTTACTACTTCTACCACTATGGGATTTTAATGGACAACTGCATCTTTGTGTTAATATGGTATGGCAACTCGAACTGATGTACGTACGTACGAAGTTCTACGTTGTGATTAACTGAAACAGTACTCATCCCCAAATGCCCTGGTACGGCCGAGAGTGAGGAGAGTCCGCTCTCCCTCTCGAAATGCTCTCACACGGCCACACATATACAGCCTCTTTCAGGGAAGTTCTGCTCACTGCCTTCTCGCAGTGTTGTTTACACAATTAAGAGGACGAAAAGCCAATGTCTGGAGCTTCAACCTGGTTGGTGGACACGAAAGTCCATCTAGAGGAGTTGGAAAACCCTCATTCCAAACCAATGATGCACATGGGCTGGCTCCATTATTCTGAGGGAACAAATGGTGTATGAATAATTCGTTGTTACCGGCTACCATGGGAATGCATCTCCTCACGATGCTCCACTTCCTTGTGGACTAGACCTTCAGGTCAAAGGCTCCGGATGTGAGCCCCTAAGATAACCACCTGCTTCAGTCTGGGCACCTGGGCAGTATCACAGCCCTCACACAAATCGAATGAGATTTGTGAGGCGCATATTTATCTGGTGCTTCCTTGTACCAATATTTATTTGTTTAAATAAAAGTAAAAAAAATACATCCATTAAATGTACGATAATATGCTAGAAAATCTTTGATACTAAATAGATTATGAACATTGACATATGGATACATAATCTTTTGTATTGTTTCTTATCATACCATTTTGTTTTCGTTATTATTTGTATTAAACAGCCATTGATTGTCTTTGTGTTTGTGTTCGGAGGTGATAGGTTATCATTTAAGAGAGAGAGAGTACATGTTTATTTTTACCAATTGTATCTACTTGAAGTTTGTGCTGATGATATCGTTCATAAGAACAATGAAAGCTCCACAACCAAAACCATTTAGCTCAGAGAACAAAACTCCATCATAATGTATCTACACTTAAGAGTCATACCCATTCTGTTTTGAGTTTCAATATTCCTTCTTACATATCTTTTTGTTTAACCTTCTCGAACCATATTCTTAGCACTTAACCTTTCTCATTGCTATTGTTAATACATTGTTTTGATTTTTTTAGTTATTTATCTTTTTCATTTCATCTCATCATTCTAATGTGATATGGCGACTGATGGCTAATGCATATATGTTTAACTGCCTCTACGTTGATTATGACTGACTAGTTGGTTAACTAAGTTTTCAAGCCTGTGTACTGTTCGAGTAAGGAAGAGTAACTACTAATATGTAATTATTTTAAACTTAATCGGTTGTCATACTTATTAATCACGCCTGTTATCCTTCATGGAGGAGAATAGGCCGCCCACTAGCATTATCCATCCAACTCTATCATGGGTAATCCTTTCCGGTTGTTTCCAGTTACTATTCATTCTTTCATATCTGCTTCTATTTCGCGGTGTAATATGTTCTTTGGCCTTCTTCTTTTCTCCTTCCTTTCCGGATGCCAAGTTAGGGTTACCTCGTGATGCAGTTTGATGCTTTCCTCAAAGTGTGTCCTATCCATTTTCAACTTCTTTTCCTAATTTCTTCTTCAACTGGAACCTGGTTTGTTTTTCCCCACAGTATTCTGTTGCTGATAGTATCCGGTCAATGGACATTGATTATCTTCTGTAGACAATTGTTTATAAATGGTTGTAGTAGTTATCCAAGTCATTTCATTTATTTATTTGAACACATAAATACTAGAACAAGGCGGCACCAGATATATATGCGCCACACAAAAAATTGTCATTTCATTTAATTGTGTGAGGGCTATGATACTGCCCGGGTGCCCATAAAGAAGCAGGTGGTTTTCTTAAGGGGCCATACCCAGAGTCTTTGACTTAAAAGTCTGATCCTGATCTGTTAGTGATTATTGTACACATACTTTCAAATTATTCTGTAATACTTGTTGAGTTATCTATAGCCATTGTTCGTATGACTTATTAATTACTATTATTAGCTTGGAAATTAAGAAGAATAGAATTAATAAGTAAGTATGTCAATACATCTATAAATAAATATGTTTCTGTTTGTCATAGTAAAGTTGCCTTATTTAGCTTTGTTTTATTCTTCTCATCTTTCGTTCCTTTCTTTTACTAGTCTTTTGGGTTGTCATTTATATAAATCTCCGTATCTCTCGCCTTAATTACTTTATGAGAGATGTTTGCTGTTGTAGGAGTCGACTAGAAAATGAACTAGGAATGGCCAAACTAAGATATGACATCTGCTCATGAAGTCATTGTTTATCAAACTAGAATGTATAGATAGATGTAGACCTTCTGAATGTAGTTCGTAAGATCATCATGGCCGTTAGTTGAAAATACTCGTCTAACAACCAAAGAACGGGTTTACTGCACAACAGTTCGTTCCGTCCTACTGTGTGGCAGTGAAACATGGCCGACAAGAGAAGAGGACTATTATTATTATTATTATTATCACTATTATTATTAGCTCTATTCAATATTATAATGTTGGTACAATATAGAATTCTCAGCACAAAGTACTTCAACAAGTTTCCGTTTCTTACTTCTTCGTCCTTCGATAAATATTGAGTGATTGCCAGTTAGAAATTAGCAGCCCAGTCAATCGACATCTGGATAATGTACATTCTTCTCGCTGCATATTGCCAGCAACCACGATATCTCTGGTTAAGCCTTTTGTAACTTGTACAACGAAACGTTGTAGACTTTTGAGAAACGCACCTGAATAGGTTGTGCGATTAATAGGCATAATGATGTATTGAAACAAATGAAATTAGATAAGTTGTTGAAATATCTAGATGGCAGGAACAGGTAGCCCAGATGTTTAAACAGGCCGCCAATAATGTAGACTGCTAGTATTCGATCATAGGTGTCTTTGAAGCATTGCTCGTATATCCTGGGACCACCGAGTAAGTAATGCAGTCGTTAGGAAACGCGTACTAGGTAAGGATGGCAAATCGATTGATGAAGTAGTGAAACTTCATCAGTTGAGATGGCTGGGACACGTGTTTACTTATACCCAACCACCGACTGCCTCGACGTGCAATGTTTTATGGTGTAGGAGAAGGTTGGAAGGAAGGTAGGGGCGGCCAGACCAAAACGTGACACAAATCCATGAAATCACTGACAAATGGATTGAGCCATGTCGGTAGGTGTAGACTACCTGGTTGGGATCCGCGAGATGATAGCAACCGATGGTTAGAGACCTTGAATGACATGGGTCAAAATCGTTTGCAATGGCGAAAGTGCATCCACTCTTTGTGTTCTCCTACATTCGAATCTTCTGAATTCTTCATGTCTCTATCTTTTTTCTCTTTCAAAATTTATTTCACTGGATTATACTCCTTGAATAACATCTTCAAACCCTAATCTTTCGGATTACTGCTTATACTCTTACTACTTCTACCACTATGGGATTTTAATGGACAACTGCATCTTTGTGTTAATATGGTATGGCAACTCGAACTGATGTACGTACGTACGAAGTTCTACGTTGTGACTCACTGACTGACTGAGTTGAAAATACTATCTAGAATGACTTATAATGGGTTGCAATCGGATATGTGCATTAAATCTCTATCTTAAATTACATGTACGTTTTGCTTTCCAAATCTATTTTAATCTTCTTGAATCATTTTGTTTATATCTAACCTTCTCTATCATCCTTAATAATGTTACTATTTCTATCCACCGTAGAATAAAACAAATCAATCCGTTTCGCCCGTCTTGTTATTCGTTTACACTATGAGAATTGAATTCAGTAGTCTAAGAACTTAACAGAATGATATTCTCATAGTTGAAATCATGAGTCAATTGAAGCTAGACCACCATGGAAAGCCTGGAAGCACTAAACGGCTGTTTTGTTCTATTGTAAGACTCCTCAGCATCTTCGATCCCGCCTCGCGAGATTCGAGACTGGTAGGTCCTGGGTTCGAATCTCGTGAGGCGGGATCGTGGATGTGCACTACTGAGGAGTCTTAAAATAGAACGAAGCAGCCATCTAGTGCTTCCAAGCTTTCCATGGTGGTTTAGCTTCAATTGACTCATGATTTCAAATATGAAAATACTGAAATCTCTACAATTTATTTATTTATTTATTTAAACACATAAATATTGGTACAAGGAAGCACCAGATAAATATGCGCCTCACAAATCTCATTCAATTTGTGTGAGAGCTGAGATACTGCCCAGGTGCCCAGACTGAAGCAGGTGGTTTTCTTCGGGGGCCACTCCCCGAGCCTTTGACCTGAATGTCTGATCCACAAGGCAGTGGAGCATCGTGAGGAGATGCATTCCCATGGTAGCCGGTGATCAACGGTTGATTCGTACGCCATTTGTTCCCTCAGGATACTGGAGCACATGTGCACCATTGGTTTGGAATCAGGGTTTTTCCAA